TGGCCGGGCGCTCGAGAGGCTAACTCTAAGGGAGTTTTTAAGTGTTGTTACACTGCTCAGATGAAATAAAAAAGATAGATACAGCGTGGCCTTTGTTATTGGTGAAGCCATAAAACTGCGCTCATTTTCGTCATTACAACGCGGTCACATTAACTTGACGCATGGCTTTGTAGACGTCATTTTGTCGGTCAGGTACGGTGCGAAAAAAAGCATGTAGCTAAATAAAAACTATATTTTTGATTTTGGAGCATAGGTTTTATTTGTTAATCTTGCAATATGTTGCATAATTTATTCTTTTATACAATATAATTTAAAAATATTTTATGTTGATAGATAAATATTTATTCAAAATTCATCTTCACTATAAATAATTGGTACAATATCAGTGTCTAAACTGTCTTCTTCTTCACTTTCGATCTCGCTGTCAGATGACTCCTTTCCTCCAAGATCGATTACAAGTTGCTGCGGTATGTCGTCAACCAGGCCATCTTTTTCCCAGTATTCCTGCAAAAAGTATTTATATTTTTTATTTAACATCACAATACAAACATAAATACATACATACATACATACTTTAGATTTATAATTTATTTACGAATTGACCTGTTGTAGTCTCTCGACATGGTTAACTTCTTTTTTCCAGTCTGATGCTGTGATGGAGTTTAATGCATCTCTGGTGAGATTTTAAATTTTTCTTTCTTGTTGGTCTACGTTTTTGTATGCCACCCTCTGTTTGACCAAATTCCAGACATATTCAATGGGGTTGAGGTCACAATGGTAGGGTGGCAAACGTACAATTTCATGGCCATGTCGTTTCATTAAATCATCGACAATGTATTGCTTGGGCGGCTTTGCCTTTTTTATAATATGGTAGAGTTCTTTTTTCTCATTTTTTCATCAAAAGGAATATTGTTGTCACGGAGCCATTGTTGCATGTCTCCTTTTAACGTTTCAATTGTGGGCGCCTTCACCGACTGCGTTGAGTGGTAAGGCGCGTTGTCAATGACGACTATACTATTTGGGGGCAAGTTTGGTATCAGCTATTCATTAAACCATTTCAAAAAATTCTCTGTATTCATTTCATGATGGTAATCGTCAGTAGTACTTTTGCATTTGTATAACAAATCTGCATCTGGGATAAATCCGTTTTCTCCTCCAGCATGCACCAGAATCCACCGTTGACCCGGGTTAAAATTTTTATTCACGCTACTATCTGTGCTGTTTTGCCAGCATTTGCTGACGGTATAATGGGAATGGAACCACGTTTCATCCAGGTAGATAACTGGTTTTTTACCTGCGCCGAGGTCATTGTTCTCTTTCATTCGGCGCAGGTAGCGTTCTCTCCATGCGGCTATATCGGCTTTTTGAACTAACACCGAACGCGCACTTTTACATTTTTTAAACTTATAACCCAACTGATTTATTAAAATATTTCTAAGGAAAGTTCTTCCATCTTGAAAATTAAGATCTCTCTTAATAGCTGCCAAGATTTTTTAAGCGTGGGTACTTTCCCTCATTGGATTGTCTGTAGTACTTGGACTGGGACAAATGTCAGTGCTTGGAACGGTGCTAGTATAGTATATATAGTAGTGCTTGGACTAGCGTCGGGCGAAGAACGCGACGGTGGTACACATGCCTTTTTGGCCTCTCTTTTTATACGAGTAAGAGTACTTCTTGATATTCCAGTTGCTGCACAGGTTCATTTATCAACCTGATCTACAGGTATGCAAAAGCGTCTATTTTTCTTCTCATTCTCGAAAAACTGCAGCACTTTCAACACAAGATTTCTCCTTCGCTGTGTATTGTTTTCCCCATGTTAAAAAATGAGTAGTAACAAAAATAGTCCAAAATTAACAAAAACAGTCCAAACTTAAACAATTACGAAAACGTAACAAAATGTTCAAAAACAGCCAAACTTAAACAATAACGAAAACGTAACAAAATATCCAATAACAACAATAGCAACAGAAAACTAGTCAAAATATCGACGCGCGTATCGGTAACAGAGATGCTAACCATACTGACGATTGCCGGGCGAGCTAAGGGAGTGCGGGGGGAAGCGGGCGGGGCCTCGCATTCTAGCGATGCGTCAAGTTAATGTAACCGCGTTGTACTTCCCGAGGCGTCGTGCGGTAAATTTGCCTACAAAACGTCGTCCTGTGTAGTTAAATGGTGCAAAAACAATACTAAAGTGAACAAAAAGTCTGAAGCAATATCGTTTTACTCGTAAACACTCATTTAACTTTATTTTATTTTGTTATTCCAACACAATTTTGAAGGTTATTCGAAGCACGAATGTCAATGTTTCGAGAAATCTCGAAACATTACGTAACGGGAGAATATTACCAGTATTTCTTATTTCTAACGGTCCAAGATTTGGGTAATTAATTTTAGATTAAGTTATAAAAATATATGTAGTCAGCATATTTTTTTAATTAGTGGTTATTACGTTACATCAATTTGAAGTAAGGTAAATATTTAATTTTTTAAGTCTCTGATGTTTCTGTTTAAAAAATATTTATGATTTTAGGCTACCAACGAATATTTTGATAAGACATGAATCAAGGGTAGCTGCTATAAGACTGAGCTGAAATGAACCAAAATGACAGCCATCATCTTGACTTGACGGTGGTAGAGTCACGCAGCGGCTATTGCTGTCACATGGATGGGCCGGCTTGAACCGGGGTGGTACCATGACTTCACAGAATACCAGTGTGAAGTAGAGGTTTACCTTCACTTGGTAAGTGTAGGTGGCCGGAGGCCCAAGTCCCCCTCCCACTTAACATCGTAGCGGAGTCAAATAAAAACTACCCCAGGAGGGTAGCCTCACTCCTGGTGACGGAGAACCCCTCGCTATGCATCCACGACCAAGCTACTTTGCTCTTTCCGAGCGTGGGTGCTTAGGCTGCTCCGCGTATTCTGAGGGAGGGGGTGGAGGGAATTCTGGGCGTGACAAAAACTACTAGGGGCAAGCGGAGAAATAAGACCAAGGCGACCACTGTGCCGCTATCCGTGAATTTTTGGAACATCAGTCGACTTAATTCTAATCTTAACGCTGTCCACTACCATCTGGAGACGGCGAAGCCGGGCTTGTCCTTTTTAACCGAGACTCAAGTGTCCTCTTCGGCTGATACTTAATATCTCTCTTACCCGGAGTACATATTAGATCACTCTTTTGTGCCCCGGGCTCAAGTTTGTTCTATTTTGTATTTACTAAAATATACTTTTTTTTTCATCTAGAAGAGTAAATTTTTAATTCCATGGAATTTTACTTTTATCCAACTAGTTTTTACTATTTTTTAATATTAAGTTATTTTTTATAATAAACATGTTCTAAATTACATATGTTATATATTTTATCGATGCTTACATGTTCACTGGACAATCAATCAAGAAGACTTAAATGATCTACAGACGCCTCCTAGTTTTTTTTGAATTGTAAAATTGTAGAAATATATTAAAACAGACAGATATACTTTCGCATTCGCATCGCATATTACTCTTATATTTTTGTAGTATTGTATCTCGATTTTCAGGGTCTTTAACAAAAAAAGTGGCAACACTTCCCTCACTCACACAAAGTTATAAAATTGGTTACAGTTTTCTTATTCTAGGTGCGATATCTACCTTTTTAATTCATCTGAGTTACACTGCACGGTGGCAAGGACACTGCAGACACTTTGACGCCCTAATTAGGGACCCTTACTCCCTTTCTCTTATTACACCACCCTAAATCAGGGCGTAGGGACCCTTAATTAGGGTAGTTTAATAAGGGTAATATCGGAACATGCCCATATTGTCGTATAGCAAAACATCAGATACTTTTTCTATAGACCAATAGCAATACCACAGATAACACAGATTAAGAACAGAACAAATATCAGCAAGCGATCAAGCGAGATTTTTTTTTAATTAACTGACTACGGCTGTTCTGAGCCTCGACCAAGCGAGAAGTAGGGATATAGATTCTTTAAGAAAAAAGATAGATTTTTAAATCTATTCACAAAAAAATCGAGGTTTAAAAGATTGATTTCACCAGAATTAAACTTTTTTCTATCGAAATCGAAAAAATTCTTAACCAATCAAGAGTTTTTATTATTATTATATAAGAATTATATTTGCAATATAAAAAGATACAACGAAGTACAGATTACAAACCTAACATTTTTTTTCTTTAATCCATTACGAAGAGGCGAAAGAAACTGAGCACACAGCAGTGTTGCAAGTTTTTGAATAGAAAAACTCTGATTCTTTACGAGTTTGCGTACATTCAACTAATTGTAAATAATTTTATTGTTCTTATAAAACAGAAATAGATTCGATCTCGATTCTCTAGGGTGAAATATCGATTCACTTGATCGATTCAGTCACTATATATCGATTTAAAAAATCGATCTTTTTGGCACAAGAAATCGATTCTTCGATCAATCGATCTCAGAACAGTTCGACTCAGTAATCTATGGTTCAACTGTTCGACAACGACATGCCTAAAGCCGTAGACAGTTTCTCTGTCTACGCGTATATATTCTCTGGTATATAGGTATTATCTATGGTATATATATAGGAGCATAGATAAATAAATATATAGGAGTAATAGTGTTCTGTGGTATATATACACTATACAGTAATCTATGGTCTACGCCTAAAGCAAAGTGAAGCAAAGAAAAGCAAAAGCAATTCATTTTGATTTTTTTATTTGTAGTCGAAAAAATGTTAGTTTTAAATTTTTTTATCAGCTGATGGATTTTGTTGTTGATATCCACATAAAAGTATATTATGATACATTAATAATTTATTTAACGAGATCTAATAGAATAAACATCAGTACTGACAAGGTGCACCGATCAGTCGGGCTAAATTGATCAAATGAATGTAAATAATAAAACAATAAGTGGTCGGTGTCAAGTGATTTCTCCGCCTACTGCAACGCCTGAGATCATTATATGGTTAGCGCGGCATGAGACTTGAATATTCTAGAATTTCAAAGTATTTGAGACATTATGTCGGGCGAAGGCGAACGGGCTTCCCGGCCTAATTCTCTTTTGCTAGAGGTACCTCCTACAGAGCGCGAGCCACTGCGTTTTGATGTACATCTGGTTGGAGCTCCGCCGGAAGTAGAACAACTAGTCAATAATATAAAACAAGTTGCTGAAGATTTCCTTTATCACTGGAAAACTTTCCCTATTGGTAAGTTAAGTTTACTTTTGTTTTGTTACGAAAGACTTGTGTACTATTAAACACAATATTTAAGGTCATTATTTTATATTAAAAATAATTTACAGTGCTTATACCACATGTATGCAATTGTGAAGCAAAGAAAAAAAAACGATTGTATTTATAGTTATAATGTAGTTTAGATTGTATATTTTAATTTTTGTGCCTTACAATAGATTGTAAATAGAGATCTTAAAATTATTTATGTTTGTATGATTTGGAAAATATTTGTCTCAGTTGTATTTCTTTATAGCAAAATTAATACAGGACTGTATCGCAAGGAAATATGTAACAAAAATAAACTAATTTGCTGTTTAAATACGTGCAAATCTACCTTTTTAAATTATACATTGCAAAGTTAAGTGTGCTTGCTTGTTTAATTATTTTACCCTACAATCTGCTTACCACACTTACTGTTACTTAGTAATCTTTTACATTAGAGTTACTTTTCATCCCTTTTTGAAAGCACACTTGTTTAATCTATAGAAATACTGGACCAAAACCAAACACTTGACATTTAGAAAAAACTACAAGTAAAAGTATATTCCAAAATAAAACAATTTTCCTTTAATCAAAACAATATTTAACCGCTCAATCCCCTAGAGGTCATGAGACTGTGGCCATATTCCGTCAAATTCCTAGCGGTCTCATGAGACCGCACCCACCCACAGCACTATAACCCATAGACACTTATATTTAAAGACTACTTTTCTATGAAGAAGTTTGGCATTATAGAATCAATATGAAATTTTCTATCCTCTAGTTGAAAAAAATTCAGTTAGTCTATAGATTATTCATTTATAATCTACATTCAAATTGCATTGTTGTCGAGTGTTCATTGTTGTACATTGTTGCATTGACTTTTAGATTTTTCTAAGTTAAGAACAGTATTTTATATTATTAAATTGTTATGAAAGTTTTTATGTGAATATAATTTATCTTTTTACGTAAATAATTTCGAGTAATATATAGAAATAATAGTAATTTTCATGCTCCCGATATCGCTTGGTATGTAGTTATAAAAATACAAAAAAGTATTTTTGCAATGATTCCATTGAATAACTGACTTTTGTTTAAACTATAGAATGGAGAATTTTGTATAGATGCTATAATGCCAAACTTCTTTATAGAAAAGTAGTCTATAAATATAAGTTTTTCTTGTTATTCTCGTGTCAATTTACGACATTTGCCAACCATAAGAAAATGGCGCAATTTTACGGCAGATTAAAAATAAAAACTCATAGGGTAACTGACCTTTGTTAAGATCACAGGATAGAGAATTTCGTATAGATTCTATAAATCCAAACTTCTTTATAGAAAAGTAGTCTATAAATATAAGTTTTAACGGTTTAAAGTGCTGTGGGTGGGTGCAGTCACATGCGACCGCTCGAGATTTGACGGACGCATGCAACTGCATGGGAATTTTAAGAGGATTGAGAGTTTAAGTAATACTGTAATTTGGAAGTATTATGTGATTGTTTAAAAATATAAAGTGTTTTTTAAGATAATTTATAGTTTAAACATATATTAGTAACATTGTTTACATACATAGAAAATTGTAATGAAAACAAGTGGTAAAATTAAACATTTTGTAAAACCATCTTCAATATAAATTAAATGGGAACATCATCAATGTAGTCTATGTCAATTAAATATGCATTATTAAGAATAACTCAAAAACTAATAGAGATTTGAGAGCTGGTGCTTCTTATGTGGTCCTAACATGAGAAAGCACCAGCTTTCATGTAAAAAAAGAATTAAAGCAAAGTAAACATATTAAAAAATGCAGTTGAATTTAGAACTTCCTTCTTTTTTTTTGAACTCATTTGATAAGTGCACCTCTGTGTTTGCACATACATCTCTGATTTTAATAGCTATAGTGTTTTGAAGAAAAAAGGAAGCTAAGTAAAAGGCTTAAGAAGCTGTCAATGCATGAGAAATGTTTCATGAATCAACCAATAGTCACTTTTACTTGAATTTATTATGTGGCGGTATTACTTGTACTTATATAGAACTATTTTCACAGTTCTCCCTCAATCCCAGTTTACGGGCACCGGTAACAAACCTTCAGATATAATTATTGCACCACCCTGTGATGAGCTTGATGCAGCTGCGTTAGACGCTGGTGTGGAACCACATCCACTCTCTCCAAAGCAACTTCACGCCATTAGGGAAAAGGGGTGAGTCCAAACACCATAGTTTTTTTGATTCTTGGTTTAATTGGCATCATTTTAGTACTTAGTGCATTATTTTTATTTCTTTAACATTATCATAAAAAAAAGTAAATCAATGAGTTGGGGCCTTACTACAACTAAAATTTATCAGCTGACTTTCTGAGTGGAGGCTGCTCAAACTATATGCTGGTCTCTGTTACACTGCACGTCACTCAGTTCTCTCATAGCAGCACTTACAAACTGGAAAAAGATTATTTTTTTTATAGGAGAGGGGGCGCGCAAACGTAAACTATAAGTTATATATATAATAAGGAGCATACGGCTCCCCTGATGGTAAGCGATTACTGCCGCCCATGAACAACTGCCGCACCAAGGGAATTGCAGATTTGGTGCCAGCCGTTTAAAAAGGAGTAGGTTCTTTTCTTGAAGGTTGCTAAGTCGTATCGGTCCAAAAAAATCTCTGGTGGTAGTCGATTCCACAAAGAAATTGTGCGAGGAAGAAAGCTTCGCACAGTGGTGGACCGCCAGTCATCCAGATGGTATGGATGATATCGCGAGTTTTGTTGAGTGTTGTTTGGAAACCGGTATTTACGACTTTTCGGTATTTCATTATAAATCTTTGTTAAATAATATTATGTCAAAAAAAAAATAGCCCACGCTTTTCGCTTGGTGAATGCTATGACAACGCGGCTAGACTATGCAACGCAAGTCGCGCGACTACACTGGAGTGAGTGAGAGAGAGTACCTTACTCCCGAGTCCTGAGCCGACGACGAATCCGCTCGCCTATACAACTAATGACGGTGCCAGTGTAATGATCGCATTTGGAAGAGAAGCAGCTCTTTTCCACCAGCGATGGCTTGCTCATGGTATACAGTTAGCGATATTAGACATGCTCTATAAAAAAGAAAACAGTTCCCAAACTCAACTAAGAGAACTGGAAGATCACGATTCTTATGACTTTGCTTTGGAATTATATGGTGAAGATTACTATGACGAGGGAATGACTGGGTGTTACCATCTTCTTGGGATCCTATAATGTATAATATTAAATCCCAAAACAAGCATACAATTGCTAGACTTCAAGATACGCCCATTCTGCGTACATCGGACCAAAAACTAATAATTGTTAACTGAAGGTAGCCGTGTTTAACTATGACACTGCGACGGGAATATAAAATAAGTTAAAATACGCAATAAAATTCGTAATATTTAGTTTCATTTAAACTTCTTCAATTCATTTAAAACTAAATTTATAACATTCTTTGCTATAGAATTTAACCTATGAACCAGATTTTCTTCTTTAGAGATATCGCTTTTGGAACCGGTGGTAGATTTTAACGTTCATAGAAGTTGTAGATGATCGTAAACTGAAGAATATATATGACTTTTTCTAACTACACCATAAAGCAAAGAAAGCTCTTACTCGATTTCCATGAAAAAAGTGAAGAAAAAAAAAAAGATAAATCGCCCAAGAGCATTTTATGTTTTATTAAAGCTGAGGATAATGAAGAAGTTTATAAGAACATGAAGAAGTAAGCCTATGAAGAAGTTACTTAGCAGGAGTATTTTATGTTATTGTTAAGGTTGATTACTGGAGGTTTCTTATGTTTAAATAGTTTAAAATATCATAGCAGCAGTGAGTTATTTATTAAACTTTAAATAAATGATTGATTTTTTAAAAATAAATGTAATTTTCGTATCATATCACACTTCTATTGATTGGCTGGTGACAATTCCCTTATGAAAATTACGGTTACATTACATATTTTTAAATATTTTTCTCACTATGTTAAAAGAAAAACGAAAATACTTTTTCCTATATATATATATTCCTAATTTTCTCTTTAACCACTCCTGATAAGCTTAAAGTACTTGAGTTAGGAATGGTTCACGCCAGTAGTCGAATGGCGGATTCGAACCCACGACCTCTTGAATTCGCGTTATGCATCCTGCCTTTAGGCTATGTAGCTGAATGTCAATAAATCAATAAGCGTGCTCCTTTACTTAGAAAGCCTCCTTTGCTAGTAGTATAGTTGAGCACGAATGGGTCGGCTCGACCGGAGAAGGGCCACGCTCTCACAGAACACCAGCGTAATATAGAAGCTTAATGCTGCTGTGTTTCGTATGGTGAGTGGGGAGAATCAGAGACCGTTTTTGCTGGAATCGAGGCATTCCATCTTAGTCCTCATGGGTGACAACACATCTGCATTTTTATTCGTAATCGAGGATACATGTAGATGTCTATGGGCCACAGCAACCACTTACCATCAGGTGGACTGTGTGCTCGTTTGTCACCCTATATTATAAAAAAAAGTCTCGTTCTTTCAGTAAATTAATTTATGTTGTGGTATTCTAATAGTTTAAAATCAATGTGTGTATTTGTATATCTTTATGTAGTATATTCAGATATAGCGAGCTTTTGGATATAATCATAACAAGTGGTAAAATTTAAATTTTTGTACAACCAACTTCAATACGACCGAATCACTGGTCAAATCTTACTTAAATTTATATGGGACCACACGAGAAGCACCAGCTTTCAGATAAAAAAGGAATCATCAAAATCAATTCACCCAGAATCAAGTTATGAGGTAACATACAAAAAAAATCCAGTCGAATATTACCTCCTCCATTTTGAAGTCGGTAAAAATAAATTTCTTTAACGTTCAGACATTTCGTACGGTCCGAATGAAGGCGGGTACGGCAGTACTTATTTTGTTACTTTTTGGAACTTTTGTAAATCTACTTCAATTGCGCAAAAACAAAATATTTCCTTAAATATTTATTTTAAGAAGAAAAACAAAATCGAACAGTTCAATCGCTCAAGCCCACACGGCCTGTAATCTTTAAGGTTGGACTTACTGTGTTTGTTATAAAATTCTCCCCGCTTTAGTGTCTTTTGCTCGACAATAGCGGGGAGTTATGGAATATTTTTGTACTTTTATAGGGTCCGCCAAATAACTTTTTTTTTAAAATGCTATTAAAAAAACTACTAAATATTTTTTCAAATTTCTTTTTTTATTTGAAAGTACAATCCTTCCGGTTAATGATGGAAAATAATTTCATTCAAATGGCTGCCTCGGCTGGCCATGCAGTAGCCTACACGATCGGTCCAATTTTTGAGTACATTATCGATTGTGTGCAGTTGTATTTCACCAATGGCTTCACGAATATTGTCCTTTAAAGCGTCAATTGTCTCTGGTTTGTCGTCGTAACACTTATCTTTGACGGCACCCCACAAATAATAGTCCAACGGTGTCAAATCGCAGCTCCGAGGTGGCCAAACGACATCAGCTTTGCGGCTGATAATGCGATTTTCAAAAACAGGGCGCAAAACATCAAGTGTAGCGTCGGCTGTGTGGCACGTTGCGCCGTCCTGTTGAAACCAAATGTTGCCAATATCCTCCTCTTCAATTTCTGTGAACAAAAATTCGTTCAACATGGCCCGATAACGATCGCCATTGACTGTAACGGCCACACCTTGCTCATTTTCGAAGAAAAATGGCCCAATTATGCCTCTGGACCAAAATCCGTACCAAACAGTGACTCGTTTTGGGTGCACCGGCTTTTCGATGAATGCGTGCGGGTTTTCTGTGCCCCAAATGCGACAATTCTGCTTATTTACATACCCGCCAAGTTCGAAATGAGCTTCATCTGAAAAGATGATTTTTTTGGCAAAATCCGCATCTTCTGCAAGTCGATCGCAGGCCCACTTAGCGAAGCGAAAACGCATTGGATGGTCAGTTGGCTTCAACTCCTGAACCAATTGGATTTTGTACGGCGTCATACCAAGGTCTTTACGGTAATTCGTCTCATTGATGTCTCCGAAATGTCCAATTGTTGAGAACGACGGTGAACTGATGTTGATGGCTTTTCACGCACACTTTCGGCAGCAATATTCTCGGGTGTACGCACTGTTTTTGGCTTTTCACGCGTTGGTTTATCGATGAGGATGCCAGTTTCTTTCACTTTTTTCACAAAGTAACGAACATACGGAGCTGACGGTGCTTCATTTCTTCCAAAATCCGTACGCAATTTTCGCACACATTCTGCAACATTACCATGATTTTCAAAGTAACGTCGCAATATTTCCCAGCGTTGTTCAAGCGTATACACAACCATATTCGTTCAGCGGAAGGATAAAACTAATTATCTGTCAAATTAGACATGAGCTAAGTGTTGCCATTCACGAAATAAGCACTAGTTGAAAAAAAAGTTAGATGGCGGACCCATTATTTACATAGGGAAATGCATACGCATACTTTGCTCGCACGAATACTCGTGGGAGCAAAGACGGGTAATGTCGTACTTGCACCGACTAAAACCTTTTGCACACATCCTTGGCCCCACCAGCGCCAGCCGCCACACTAGTGCCAGCCGCCCCACTAGCGCCAGCCGCCGTAGAAGCGCCAGCCGCTCCACCGGCCGCCCCATAGCAATCTCTACTCGGAAAAGGAGATTTCCCTATTCCTTCTTAGGTAAAGCCCACCAAAACACAAGCCGAAACTTCTTCCGCGGTCTCCAACTTCACCTGCCTAAGACCCCCGATACGCGGAGGCCATGTTTACAAAAAACTAGTCTTTCTGACTCCGGCGGCAGGCTTCCTGACCTTATCGAGGTCGAATTTTTCCCTTTGCATTATTTTAATAATTCCGAAATAATAAACAGATGAAAACTAATAGGAATAAAGGCTGGCAAGTACGCTGAAGTAACTAACTACCTACTTCCTGAGCTTATTTATTCTCCCAATTTTACGCCAGTCAATCAATATCGTTTTCTCACGATGATGACTGTTATTCACTCTGACATGTTTTGAGGTATCTTTAAACTACACTTCGTTGGGGTCAAGCCTTTAACCATGATGACATCATCCTCTAGTTTGTGTTACCTATACTCTGAGCTTGTAAATATTGTATTATATTTTAGACTGATCTGAAGTGGCAATGGACCGGCGATATAGTTCATAGAACCAGCTATATATTGATAAATAACAGTGAAGTTTGGA